CCTGAACAGAATTTGCCAGACAGATTTTTAAAAGGGAGACACTACTCCAGCCTCCAGAATACATGGATTCTTCTTTTGAAAATACAACAGGATCCTACACTCTGGGTGTGGACAGGGACTTTGTAAATCACCTTCCCGGGTTGCACAAGAAGATAGGAAATACAAGCTTCCTCCAACAAGCCATGGTTTGTTTCTCTTTTGCCTTTCTTTTAAAATTAGGGGGTTTGTACACTATGAATAATTCATCAATTATAAATGATAGCAAAAATAAAGCAGAAACAAAATAAATTGACTGGTAACTGCCACCTGATAAACTAAACTTGTACCCTTGTGAAGGGCCTTATTTTTCCTTCAAAATAAGTATGGAAGGATGCTATTTCCAGAGGCTCAGGCTTAGTGGGTTCTTCCCCAAAACTGCTTGTGCCAGCTTTAATATAATTATTTCCTGGTCATGTTATAGACTTAATTCACGAGGTCGAAGTCTCTGACGCTTTCCCCAGGCTCTCCTCCCCCAACACACATAAGCTGGCTCTGTGTATTTTTCCAAACATGTCCCAAAATACCGCTAAAACTAGAGAAATGTAAGTAGAAACATCTGAATTTCAAAAATCAGTCTAAGCAAAACACTAAACAAACCAGACAGAACAGACTATCTCTTTTAACTTTTAGTAGATGTTTTTATTTATTTATTTAATTTATTTATTTATTTATTTATTTATTTTAATTACCACACCATACCTGTGTCTATTTATGGGACAGCCTGTAGTAATTCAATATGTATTCACAATGTGCAACTCTCAATTCAGAGTAATTAGGAATTCCGGGTCTTCAAAATTTTATCATTTCTATATGTTGGAAAACCTTCAAAATCTTCTTTTCCAGTTACTTTGAAAATAGCATGCATTGCTTTAGACTGTTGTTACCCTAAGCTTTATTTGACAAAAATCATAAGAAAAAAATGTTAAAGTAAAAATATGATATAGGAGAGAACATGTAACAAAAAACTGAAGAGAGCCGGGTTTCGCTCTACTACGAAGCTGCCTCATGCTTTCTTCTTTTATATACGTTCAAAAGGAGTCAACCAGCTCTTGGGTTCTGTGGTTAGCTATTCTGTCCAAATACACCTCTAAATTTGTTTTTTTTTTTTTTTTTGCTGTGTTTTGTTTTTGGAAAGCCAAGGTTTCTGCAAAAGTATCTGCAGCTATTTCTAAGGACGTGAGCTGACATTCAGAGAAGACAGAAGCACTTCTGAGTCTGCTGAAATTGATATCAAGCTTGCAAGTCTCACTGTAGAATGATCTTCAAAACAATGTTGAATGACTTTAGATGACCAGTTTATAACCACCCCCTCTCCCCACCCACCCCGCAACATCCCTTAAAAGGCCTGAAGAAAACAACCCGTATCAGATACACAGATAGAGAAGTAAAAACAAACTTGGCTTCTTATTTGTCTGAATAGTTCACTAGGGATGGAGTTTTGTATTCCAAAACTGGAAGGTGATAGAATAGTCTATTTCAGGACATCTTTAAAAAAAAAAAAAAGCCATTTAAAAGTACTGCAGAATGTTATTTTGATTCCTGCCACAGGATAAAGGGCTCCTCCTGAATGCACACAACAAGCAAAGGATGCGTTAGAGGCTCCGCCATCATATTAAAAATTAAACCCGGCTGCATTTCATAATGGGCTCTCTCTCTCTCTCTCTCTCTCTCTCTCTCTCTC